ACTTGAGAAAGATTTTCAGTAATTTCTTCTGCTGCCTTATAGTCTATGTTTTCTTCTTTATAGATTTTTGTATATTGGTTTTTAATATACATAATTGTATCTTTATTTTCTGAGCTTGAAGTTTCAGGTGTTTCAATTTTGGATTGGGCACTTTGTGATTTTCTTGCTTTGTATTTTGAGAAAAAATATTTTGTTAATTTTTCTCTATTTCCAATCCATTTTGTCTTTAACTGGATTAACCATGTTTCAGCTATCTTAGTTAATTCCTCTTGTATTTGAAGGTTAAGTTCTTCTATATTCTCATTGAGATTTTCTTTTGAGGAGTCTGCTGCGAGCTCTTTGCTTAACCTTGTAATATCTTTGTTTAGTCTTGCCATTTTGTTTTCAAAAGCTTTAGATTTTTGAAAGGCTCTAATAATTGATTGTATATAGATTTTACATAGATTCCAGTTTTCTGCTAAGTCAGCATCCTGAATTTCCTCTAGCACCTCTCTTTTGTAATTTATTTTTAAAAGATTATTGAACCTCCAGACTGAAGACTGTTTAGAATCTTGTTTGAATTCGAGTATGCATCTTACTAGGAGGTGGTCTAAGTTGCTAAAGTGTGTACTAATTTCTGATATAAGGTGATTATGGTTCTCATCTATAAAAATGTAGTCCAAGCATGTAGCCATTAAGCGATTATTTTGTATTTTTTGAAAAAAAGTTAAAAAGGACTTGGTGTTTGATATCTCTGCCATGTTAATAAATTCTTTCATTAAGTTGCAGAGCTAAGTTCTGGTTAAGTCATATTGAGCTGTTGCTTGGCTGATTCTGTTGTCATTAGGATTGAGATTGACATTAAAGTCACCTGCTATAATGTTTATGTTATTTTCTTTAATTAGAGGTTTCCAATTGTTAAAGAAGATTATTCTGTCAATGATGTTTGGTGGTGTATAGACATTTGTTATTTTGAAAGAATATCCTTTAAACACAAAGTCTGCTGTTATTATTCTTCCTTCATGGCTTGTCTGAATGTTTTTAAATTCAATGTCTTTTTTTCTGCTAGAATTGCTGTTTTTTTGGTTCAGATTGAATTGTAGATCCATTGTTGTTTAAGAAATTCTTGTGTTTTTTCATTATTGAGATTGGTTTCTTAAAGCATTATTATGTCTAATTTGTATAATTTTAAAAGAGTTAGTAAATTTTGTTGTTTGCTTTTGTTATTAAGTCCTTTTATGTTTAGTGTTGCTATTTTTAATTTGGTTTTTTGAGGCATAGTTATAAGAGGTTGTTAGATCCCTTAAATTGAGAGTAATTTTCTTCTTCATAAGTTTTCTTATAAGGAGATGATCTTGTCTCCTCCTTTTTAGATGTTCTGTTTCCTTTTTTTGATTTCTTGTTAGTAACTGTAATAAAGCCATCTGTTTCTTTGTTTTTGTCAAGAGGGGATGCTGCTTTGGAGATGCGACTTGCAGATGGATGTGATGTTTCATAGCCATAAATGGCAAATTCGTCTCTTGGCAGCAATTCTATATCTGGTAAGGGATCTTCTTGAGTTGTCATTTGCATTTGTTTATCTGAACCGATATTGAATGTAGCTGATTCTGTCAGAACTAGGGGTTGGAGATTCTGTTAATAGTTAGGATTAGTCTCTTCTAAGGCCATATGTGCATCATCTTTTGCATCATCTAGTTCTGGTAGTTCCAAATTTTCTTGTAGTAAAGATTCTTTATTAATTTGTTCAATGTTTTCTAGAGTCTCATTTGACTCTTGCAAGTTATCTGAGAATCTTCTGTTGTATTTATTCTTTTTGTATTCTTGGTAACTAATTTGTAAGTTTACTGAATTCTGAAATTGTTGACATTCTTTTTTGATATGGCCTTCTTTTTCACAAAAGTAGCACATTTTGGGTGCTGATTTTTATTCTGTTGTAACTTTATTGTCCTACACATGTGTGAAATAAGGAATTTTGTTTAAGTTAGAGTTATCTGAGTTTTCAAAGATTATAATCTATTGGTCTGTAAGGTATGGTGTTCCTTCAATCAATAAAGGCTTAATTGAGGCAATTCTACCAACAAACTCAAAGGCTTCTTTTATAGCATCAGATAATGCTTCTTTGTTTTCCAGTAGAACATTCCTAATCTTGACTGGAAGGAAAGATTTTCTTGAATCTGTAGAAATAAAGCCAAAATAGGTTCTGCCAAAAATATTAATTTCCTTGAGCACATGGTGTTTTAATTTTTTTTTGTTTTCAAATACAATTTCTATATGTGTCTATGTTCCTTTTGTAAAGTGTTGTTTGCTGTTATGATGTCCTCTTTAAGGTTCTTGAATAATAAAGTTATAATTTCATTAAAGGAGCTATGCATGCCTTGAACATCTATCATTAAGGTGTTTTTATTTTTTGATCTAATTTGGCTTTTGGGCCTAAAGGAGAAATAGGTGGACTGTCCTCTTCTTAGTTTTGAAAAGAGACTAGACCACTGTTTAGTTAGTATTTCTTTTGAGCCTTTTTGTTAACATAAGGGTTGGTTTTCTGTGTCTCATTTAGTGATCTATTACTTTGTACATTTTCTGATACATCTAGCTTCTGTTCAGTTGTGTCTTCGATTTCCTCTGTGTTGTATAATATTACCTGTTCCTTAAACATGTTGTTTGTTGTTGTGTTTGTAATATCTACAGACATGTTAGTGTTGTTTACTTTTTGGTCTTGAGTGGTTTTCATTTTTTCTATTTTTAGTTCTACTTGTTTGTTCCAGCTTGCTAAATTTTTGCTAGAGGTTTCTTTTAGTGCTTGTTTTTCTTTTTGTTCGTGTTTAGTAGCTTCTTCTTTAATAGTTATTGAATTTGAAGGATTTTACACATTTTCTTTGTTTTTCTTTACTTTTTTTCTACTGTTTGCTGATGCCATTTTTTTTGTTGTTTTTGTGCTTTTTGTATATTGAAATTCTGTAAAGGACCTTTTTCTTGAAACAAGAGCAAGGGCCCTTGTTTTAGTAATTGCTTTAGCTGGTTTTGTCTTGTCATTTGTTATTATTTTAACAAAAAGGATTACTCTACTTCAAAACTTGTGTGTTCAGAAAAGAGTGCATGTAGATTTTTTTTCATGCCCTTTTTCTTTAAGCACCATAATAACAATATTTCTTTCTTCTAGTTTTCTTGCTTTCATTACCACTAGTGCTTTGTATTTATACTTTTTGATATATTTTATATGAGCTCCTTTAATACTGCTACACATGTGATCTATTTCTTCTGCATTAATATTAGCTGGTACAGTAGATCCCATATTGTTAAATATGACTCTACTTCTAAATTCTCTTTAGTTGCATAGTTATCTTCATTGTTTTCTTCTTTTTCTTGTCTAATAAAGCTCTTGAATTTTTTTGCTTCTTTTTTCTTGCTTCTTAGTACTTGATGCTTCTGTTTTCTTTCTTGATTTTTTGGTTCTTTTAGAATGATTTTGAGCCATTCACCTTCTTTTTCTTTAATTCTCTTCATTGCTGCATTTCTGCTAAATTCACAGCTAAAGTTCACTTTTATCCAACTGTTTTCATTCAACTGTTTTCATTTTTGAATAGTTCTTGAATTGATTTGATATGATTATTTTCTCAAAAAATTCACTGAGCATATTTGATTCTTTCTTCTTTGTTTCATCTAGCATTATATATGTTGGCATGTTTGCCTTAAAGGATTTACTTTTATCACATATATAGTTTTTTGGTAACTACTGACTTTGCTCTATTGTATTTGTCAATTCTAAAGTTTCTTAATTTTATTCTTTTGCCTTTAGTTCTGCTATTCTTCTATCTATATCCTTGATATCTTTTTTAAGATTGCATATTCTGTCATTTGTTGACTCTTCTTGGTCTTTTTTACTTTTTTTTAACTTCATCTCTTATTGTTTCTGTTGGCAGTTTTTCTATAGTTTTGTTTTTAGAATCTTTAAAGTCTTGTTGGTATATAGTTAAAATGCTTAGTTCTTTTATTTGTCTTATGACTCCCTTTAAATCTTGATTCATTTCTTCCTTTTTTTCACATTCTTAGTACTTTTCCTTCATGTGTAAAGGCACTTCTATTTCTTTAATCTCTTTTGCCTCTTTTATTCTTTCTAGCTTTGTTTCTTTCTTAGATGTTTCTCTCTCATTTGTGTTTATTTAATAGTTGAAAGACTCAGGGTTTATGTCTATTAATACTAATTTCTTTGCTTAGTCTTCTATAATACTATGTGAAACTGTACATACTTTTGCTATTTTGAGTACTTCTAGTATTTGGCTATAGAGAAGCAAATCATTTAGTATAATGTTCTTTGGATTGTAAATTGCTAGGTCTCTTGCTATATACTCTAGATTATTAAGATTTCTTATATGTTTTGAAAGAACTGCATCAAGTATTTTACTATTTATATATCTTCTATTTCTATTACCAAAACTCTTAATATGTATTAGGTTTATACTGCATAGAAGTCCTAGTCTAGTTTGTACTTCCATTTCTAAACTATTCTGTTGTTCATCTATCTGCTTATTCCACATGCCAAACTTATCTGTTATTTCTTAATATTGCTATTTGTTGTTACTATTTGTTGTTTAGTATAACATAATATGTTGTTTTGTTTTGTATTGATTGCAGTCACATGTTCCAATTTTATTTTTCAGATCTAATGCAGTTTTCCACTTTTTCCAAAAAGTTTTTTCAAAAACTGTAAAACTAGCCAAAGTTTTGTTTAACATAACTTTATTTATACTGCTATTAAGATAAAGTCATTATATTAAAAAAAACTTTTTCTCTCTCTCTACTCCGATTTTTGATGAAGGGCAAAATAACATATACAACAATAAACAAGCAATCAAACTTTAGAAAAAACTATACCACAAGAGCTAAAACTCTTGTGTCAAAGAAAAGAAAACAAGTCTATATAGTTATATCTGGCTTTTTAACAGATAGGATAAAAAAAAAACAAAAAAATCAGAGTTTCCTTCTTCAAAGAAGGAAAACAAAACCAAGAAGCAGAGTTGCCAAACATGGCTAGGAGTTTGGAAAAATCCAACCTAAATACCTTAGCAAATGCAAGCAGAACAGTAGGTTTTAATGAAAACTTTATTTGTAAGAAACCTCTGAAAAAAAGTCAAGACCAAGATAAAATTAAAGAAAAAGTTAAACATGACAGTTAGTGAAGAAACATGTTAGAAACTGCCAGAACAACCAAAACAAACAGAACAAGTGCTACAAAATAGTCATGTGAAATACGATAACAAGAAGACTCAAGATACAAGTCATGTGACTAATGAAGCAGGTACCCAACCAAGACCAAGACAATGATCAGAATTGTTCTCCAAATTAGAAAAAGAAAAGGCAATATACTCCATCTACTCACCAAGAAAAAGGATTAATACAAAAAATTAGAATGCTTTGATTTTTGAGATACATAATTTGAAAAATATTTCAACAACTGACATCATAGAAGCAATAGCACAAAAGTTTGAAAAGGACATAGTTGCAATCAAATCAATTATTTTCAAAGGAAAAAGAACACATTTGGAGGTAGTTTTTGTAATTAAGAATAAGCAACAGCTATATTCTATAGAAGGCCTTGCCATCTTCAAATAAAACCTTCAGAGGTACATTCCAATCAATGTTGCTTCTATAGGCAAGAAAGATTTTATTTTAAATCAAATTAAAATAGCATTCCAAGATGTGGGTCCAATTGCATCTATTAAACCTCTAGTATATAAAGGAACTTCAATATTATTTGACCAATGGGTAGTAATTTTTGAAACAACAGATGATCCTGAACTAGCAAAAAGAATTCCTAGATATATGTATGTTTGGAATCACAAAGTAACAACAGACTAAAGAGAAGCTTCAAAACTTTGTTATTTTTATGACAAAACAGAACATATCAAGAAAGAATGTTCTGAATACTAAGCATTAGTTGAACTTAGAAATCTGCAAAAGGCAAAAAGGGAACAAAGATTATAAGAGAAGAAATAATAGCAGAATTTAGTACAAAAAACCCTTACACTAAGGAACTTAGTCTAGGAATGAACCTTAATGATGAGAAAGTAGAGCAACCAAAAGCAGAAATTGAAGCCAATAGTAGCTCTCCAAATAATAAAGAAATAGAACAACCCAAATAATGAAGAAATAGAACAACCAAGAACAGAAACTGAAATAAATAATAGTGCTAAAAGCACTCAATTCATGCTTTCAGAGGAAACTATACAAAAGAAAATTGCATTAAATACACAAGAAATATGGCAAGAAAATAGGCTACATGACCCAATGGCATCTTTATACAATGATATGCCAATGATTATGATGTTGACAAACACTAAACAAGAAGATTCTGATGGGTTTAAAGTAGTCATCTCTAAGAGAAAGCATAAACTCAAATCCAAAATAGCTATCTTAGAGGAAAACAAATTTAATAAGTTAAACTCAAAGGTCTTTAACTCAAAGACTAACAGGTTTTTTTTTTAAAAAAAAAAAACGCGAATTGGCATACTTTATTTAATAGATTACAATTACATTATTATCAAACTAATTATTACTATCTATTTACAGTTAGAGT